AAAAATTCGATATCTCAGCAACAAAGCTGATTGCGCACGAACCAAGTTGGGATTCTTCATAGTCCATGAGGATCTACATTTTAAAAATAGTCCCACTCAAAAAGATTTTTAGCACCTCAGGCGGTTCTCTCGTTAGTCGGTTAGTTCACCGGAAAAAAAATTTCCAGTCTGGATTTGGACTCGCACCAGCCCTGTCATGATGATCGTATGCTATACGATATTTGTTTCTAACAAGCAAGAGATCTTTCTACTCTTTTTCGTCTTTTGGCACGAAATGTAAGTAAACTTCGAGAGAAAAAACTTTGAATCAATACATAAGTGAATATATTTCCAACCAGATTTTGAAAGGATAAAAAACCTGTATCACCTACAAATCTTTTTTTTTCTGTTTTTTTTCAACTTCTAAGCAAACTACAGTCATGGAGCTTTTTAAGTATTTTTAGTCCTAGTAGAATTTTACCATTTTCCGGTCAATAATCATCTTATCTCGATTTTTGTTCTAAATTTTATGTTTATTTTTTGTTCGTTTAATAAATATGTGTCACATGTTTTTTATATTTGTTGCTTTTCTCCTATTTTTGCGATCATCTTATTTTTCTTTAACGAAGTGAATGTCATTCTCGTTTTTTTGTTTCACTTCTCTGTATTAGTTGTAGATGTTGAATTTGAAATGAAAATATCATAGATATTTTAATGCTAAATAATAAATCTAACTTTGTTTCTTCTTTTCTTTTTAAGATCGTTTTTTCATTCATGTAATAATTCGATCGTAACAGATGAATATCTTCCAATAACTAATAATAATGAACAATCACCATTGTTAAAATCCAAAGTATTTTTAACTGATCCATCAACAACAACTACAACAATGTCATCTAATTTTACTGATGAATTAGCATTGTCTTATTTAAAACAAACATGTGATCAACAATGTCAAACGGATGATGTAGATATAAGTGTCATTCGAAAAAAGACAAATGATCAAGAAATTCAAACTATATTTTCACCATCACTTCAACATGAATTAACCATTGTACCTTCGACTTCTTCGACAAAATTAAATGATTATCCTAAAATTGAACACGATGAATTTGCAACAAAAATTACATATGATAATATAGCTGATTATAAACTTGAAGATAAAATGCCAAGAAGTAGTAGTATTGAAAGTGGTTTAATTGATTGTTCAAATGAAGATGAATTTTGTTTGATTGCTACTACTGCTAATAGTACTAATGATAATAGTAGTAATCAAGAGAATGACAAACAACAAACAATTATTGATCAGACGAACGAAGATGTCGATCAAGTATTACCATGTACACCTTCAGTACAATTAATCGAAAATGATGTGAAGAACGAGACCCAAGAAGATGAACAAACTCTTGAGATACAATTAACTCCAACAACAAAACGTTTATGGTCTGATATTGTAGATGAAACAGCCAATGACGATAAACAAAAAGAAATATTATCAACAAAATCTGAAAATAATGATACAAATCTCACTAAAACAGTACAACAACCACAACAACAGTCCATATTAACAAATGGTTATCATAATGAAACTGATCAAACAACTAATATTCAATCACATAAAACACTAACAAAACCCCGTGTTACATCCACAATTGATCATTTACCACCACAAACTGATAATAGAATTTCTTCATCATCCTCTTCATCACTTTCTCCTACAACACCAACGGCAGTAACCTCACAGAAAATGAAACCAAATGCCAATAAACCACGTCATCATAACAATATCTGGTATTCCTATGATTATCCCTATGATTATGGATATACGAACGGAAAAGAGAATAATTATTATTATAACAATAACAACAGTAGTCATTCAACAAAAAAAGATCAGATTAAAACAAATGGTACTGCAACAACAACATTAACATCATCCACAGCAACGACTTCATCTAAACAATTGGTCGATAATACAAGTAAATCAAGTACAAACACTACGCCATCAACAACAGCTAAAAATCAAAATTCAACGAATAAAAAAACAAAACAGAAACAACAAGTGAATATAACTAATACATCAACATCGAATGAACTAGATAAATCAAAAAGCTCAAATCTTCTTGATGAACAAAATGAAAATTATTTCTTCGATGATCAGGTATGAGCATTTGTCGTAGATAAGTGCATAACTTCTATTTTATTAATTCGAGGAAAAGAAAATTCTTCGGTTAATTGCAGTGTTTGCAGTAGTTTTAAATAAGGATAAATTGCAGTGAGTGAATAAATAGAAGCATTATATTTCAATATTTCTACAAATCTTTTAATCAATGTGTACAGCCGAACGTGCCAGAGTGAAAATCTATCGCTCTTTTACCTTCGGCTTATTTGTTATCTCTTACAGTTTACAGATGCCTATTTTTTCGTTCGCTTTGCTATATTTTAAGCTACTACTACCAGCTTATTATCTGGTCAAACATGAGAAAAAACCAAATGTAGTTTCAATTTAATCATAGTCTAAATTCATTTATTCCATAGTACCTCTTAAAGTATGGTATTATTATACGATAATGATGCAAGTAATAAGTTATACTATATCAGTTCTTTTTCATTTGCTAAATTAGTAGAACGAAGTGATCTATCATATCTAATTATATTAGCAGTTCATCATCGAGCCATTTGTATACTTTTTTATCGTTCATTTGGACAGTAGGGAAATGAATATAGAAGACTAACTATATGTATTTCATGCTGAAAAGCTGTCAACTTTAGATAAAGTAGAAAAAATGTGCGTATTGCTTTTCATTGGTTTGAAATAGAGGGAAACAAGCTCGATTATAATAAAAAAACTTTCTAAAAATGACTTTTAAGATCTGAAGTGATATCTTCATTTTAGAAGACGAAAATACAGTAAAAATGTTTAATATAATCTCCCTTTCAATACTTCGAAACTCATTTAATCTCACATTCAATAGTCTTAGAGAGATTATTACTATTGAAGGGAGTGCGATTAGGGATCCAAATCTTCTGATTTTTGAAACTTTTTCTGCCTTGTTTCTGCTCTTTTTTGCCCTAAGGTCTACTGATTTTCTGATTTTCTACTTCTTTTTCTCAGGTTTTTCTGATTTTGGACTTTTATTTTCTGATTTTCGTGTTTTGGATCTGAGATCCCTGAGTGTGATACACTGATAAACATTTTATTCAAAAGTTAAAAAAAAAGAGATTTACCGTCTGTTTTGTTCTATGTTTTACTCTCTATAATATAAGTGTCCTTAAGATTATTTTAATAAATATCAAAAATGAAATAATCATTTTTTAAAGAATTTTATAAAAAGATATTGATGTTCTTAGCGATATCTTTCATATTGATTTTCAAGAACTGTTGTTGAATAGAGAAAATCATTATTAAATTATATATTTTTAAAAATATTATTGATAAGAATTGCAAAGCTTATCGAGACACATCACACATGTGAGAGAATTCATATCTTTTAAAAAGTTTTGCACCTTTTCTCTCAATAATTTATTGCTCTTCAAAACGATAAATGTGTGAAAATAACACACGGCGTTATCGAACATTGTTTGATAAATAACAATCACAATAAGTTTAGTTTTAGTGACTGAATGTAAAAGTTTGCACTTCCTTCTCCATGAGATTAAAATCTTTTCATCTCCTGCCTATTTGTAAAAGAATAGATCAAAACTTATTGGAGTATATGTATCGTTAAAAGAAAAGTTATAGTAATAGTAGAATAGTAGTACACACACACACACATATATATATAGATATATATATATATTTATATATGTATTACGTTTATCCAGAAAAAGAATAAAAAAATGATAAAACATAGGCGCTCTATCATTCATAAATAATACATGTTTTTTTTTAGATAGACAAGGACGAAAAACCTAATTACTATGTCTTATGTCAAATGAGGGCAAATTCTTTGTCTAAAATATTTAGGTTGTTTTTGCTTTGAAGTAGAATGGAACTATTTCGTTTTTTTTTTATAATCACAACTGATAGTTAACATTGAAGAGACATTTTGATATATTATCATATAATGTTTTTATAAAATTGACATTTTTTCTTATTGAGAATGATGTTTAGTAGAAGAAAATATGGGCATTTGAGAAAAATACGTTTTTATTAATCCTTAATATAATAAAAATTGCATTGATTGCTAGTAGAAATGAAATTAATGTCAACAGAGAATTTCTATCAGTCCAATATGAAAACACTATATTAGGGTTAACTTGTCAAATAAGGTGTGTGACCCAAGGCAGATGGTTAGCTTTTGTTCGTCCTGAATATTGACAGTCCAATAATACTGATGTCAAAAGGCATAAACGAAAATTATCTAAAATTTAGGTACCAATGACAAAAGATCAAGAAATTATTATATATGAATTTCATTTTCCCGTTCATTATTGTGGACGTCTTATTGGTAAACAAGGTGTACACGTTGATTATATTAGACAAACAACACAAGTTGATCTTGTTGTTCGTGATGATCCTGTTTCATGGGAAAAACAAATTGTTGCTTTACATGGTAAAGAAAAAATAAATGCTTTTTTTTATTAAATAATCAGATTTTTCATTTTATATTTGACTCTTCAGGACGTCGAGCTGATGTCGAAAAAGCTCTTAATTCGATTGCCGAACGTTTTCCTCCAAGTATTTATAAAGGCATTGTTTTCAAACCCATTCATAAAAAAATTGTATTAAGACGGCGAACACCAGAACGATTTGCCGTATCATCAGGATCTCAAGTAAGACATTAAATCATTAAAAAGACTATGAAAAAGTTTGATTGCAATTGTTGTTTTAGTTATATTTATCGGATACAACAATGACCGATATTATTGTAACAAGTGTTGTATCGTGTAATCATATATTTGTACAACAATTACAGCATCCATCCTATTCTGAACTTGTAAGATTAGACAATTCAATGTCATTATTTTATACTCATACTGAAATGACACCATTATTGCCAAGACCAATTCAGCGTAAGTCAATGAATTTTACACTTTTATTCATTTTTAGACTTATTAAGAAAAACAAAACTACGTCAATGACTATTTTGATATGCTTAATATTTTATCAAAGTATATAAAATCCTTTTAGCTGGTGTTGTGTGTGCGGCTCCGACACAAGTTGGCTGGTTTCGTGCACTAATTACAGATTACAATAGTAATGATGATATGGCAATGATTAAATTTCTTGACTATGGCGGTTATTTGTACATACACGCAAATACATTGAGAGTATTGAGGTATGCTCTGTTTACTTGAATTTTTTCGGATTTTCTACACTGTTTCTATATCCATTTAGGCAAGACTTTATGTTTATTCCATTTCAAGCCGCTGAAGTTTATCTTGATAGTGTTTTACCAATTGAAGGTATGCTTTTATCAATTATAAAATAAGAAAAATAATTTTTCGTTTATTTTAGGACAAGATGATTTTCTTCCTGAACAAATTAATGCTGTTAAGTCATCCATATCAGGAAATGTATTGAAAGCAATTATAACCGGTTATCATTATGATGGACTTGCATTCATTCAGTTAACTAGACCAGATGATTATAGTGTAAGTGACACTCTATTAGCCATATGTGCACAACATGTACAATTGTCTAAGGTCTAGGCGTGATTAGCAAAGCTTGTGGGAAGTTTTTTACTATGGAAATTCTAGAATATAGCCGTGCCTATTTTTACTTTAGGGTCGAATAGTCAATATTGAAATTCAAAACATTGTTAATCAGGCATTGACATCGCCGTCGTTGTCGATTTCTTCTCCCGATATCACAAGTACTGCTTTAAATACAATAAATGATGTAACTACTACAGCATGTTAAGTGAAACGTGAATTATCATATATATCTCTTTTTCTGTGTTTCTAACTCTTTTTTTTTCCTCTTTGTGCTTTTATCACCGGTTGAATGTGATTTTGTTTTTCTTGTTTCTTTTTCTTTTAATGGATGATATTATCAAAACTACACACACATAAACGCAGGAAAATGTTTGTTTGTTGTTGTTTTTTTCTGAAAACTTTCGTCTTTCAGAAAAATATCCTTTTTGTTTGTTTGTAATTTTATTCATTGAACGTGATTATCTGTTATCTCGTTATTGTTTGTTTGTTTTCTTTTTTCTTTTCTTTTTGCACTTCTGCTCTTTTCTTGTCTCTGACCTTGTTCAGAACTGTTTGAAACTTAGTAGAGTCGATTTGGTTGCTTGTTTTTGATGTTGTTATTCCTTTGTTTCTTTTTGATATAAAAGCACTTCACAAAACCTTTGTATCTTAATGACCGCCAGACAAAAGTGTATACCAGAAAACAATTACGCTTTAGCGAGCAGAATAAACTATTGGATCACGTGTATGAGTGCACGTTTTTGAGAAGGCAAAATTAGCTGGTAATTTGAGCAATAAATGATTAGATGTTAGAACCTCCATAACAGGCAATGGATATGTTAAAAATTTCCAGTGAGATGTTGCTTTCTTTATTAAACCAAAAACAGTGCACTATTGAAACTAGAGAAAATGTGCTCGTTTTTGTACTGAAAACGATATCAGACAAAAGTTAGAATACCAATTTCAAAGCTCAAAAGAACGATCGCATATGGATGATTTCTTACGCTTTGCTTAAGCCCTGGGTTTGTAATGTTCCTCTTTTCCTCTTTTATTTTTTTCCTCTTTAATCCAAGCCCCTTCCTCTTGAGCAAATTTTCCTCCTTTTCCAGGTTTTTTAGCAAAAATACCAGAATTCAGGCTATTTTTAGATCTGAAAGTAGTTTCAGATATATTTTTTTATCAATGCCTTCATATCAAACAAAAAATTCAGTAACTCATGGTTACAGTAGATGAAGTCCCTGTGAGATGATGGTTAAAGCAAGATGCTATGGAATCAACATTCGTATGAACATTGTGTAAAATGGGCAAATTAGATTGTGGAAATAAAGGATGGCAGTCGATAGTACAGCATATGAAGAAAGATAAACACCATGAAAAAATCAAAGAGTTGAAAGAAAATACATTCATTTCTCCAACATTTTCGTCTCATACAGCCACAACTTTATCACAAAGTTCATCTACATTCACTTTTAAACTAGAATAACTCCCTTTTGTTATGTTTTTCTCAATTTTTTACGCGTGAAACACGGAAAAAAATACTTTAAGTGGGATGAAATCATTTCTTTGAGAGCTGTAAGCCACTCTGATATATGATGGTGTTGACCACTCCTTGCTACTCCCACATTCTTGATACCAAGAGTCCGTTATTAGGGGTTGCAGTATTACTATTACTCATGTATTACATTACCGAGGAAAGTAATACTAAAAGGTGTATATTACTGTCAGTAATCTTCCATGCATTTCTATTACTAGTAACAGTAATACTGAACAGTATTCCTTTTACCAGTAACAGTAATATTCATAAAATTAGTACTACTTTCCAGTAAAGTAATACAAGAAAGAAAAAAAAAATTAAATAGGGGGCGCCACAATCAATACAAAACAATATGGTGGGTTCGTGTTAATAGTGGCGCCCCTACTGAATTTTTTTTTCTTCTATTACTTTACTGAAAAGTAATACTAATTTGATGAGTATTACTGTTACTGGTAATAGGAATACTGTTCAGTATTACTGTTACTAGTAACAGTAATATAATATATACAATATTTGTATTACTGGTAACAGTAATAGTAACGTGCCACCCCTACCCGTTATTAGTAAATCATAGTAGCTTTTATATTGATGTAGTAGTAAGTAGTAGTAATTTTATTTAGTCCTTGATCTTAAAACTGACTTGGTGATGATGAAAGTTTAAAAGAAACTTTGTCTAGATCATACCGAACGATCTGATGAAATTCTATTGTCTCTATTATTGTAGATCGATTCAAAAAAATATTCAATAAGAGTATTTTTTATATTCCTTTTAACCGTGTTTACTTCAAAGTAATTTCGATTGATGATTTCACTTAGGATGGAATGATTTCTAATTTTTTCTGCGAATAATAACTATTTGTACGGTCACACACTACTCGAACGAGAAAAACTATAGTGTATTGTCCAAGATGAGACGCGAATGTGTCTTTTGTTTAAACGATGTATCAAATACAAACTAAAGATAGTGAAGTGTACTTTTCAGTCGAAATATGTGCATTCAAATGAAGATAAATTAAGTAAAAGCAAAAGATTTATTCTGGAATTCCGTGAAACATGATCAGATGAAAACTCTAACTTCCTTCGTGGATAGGATGAAATACTTCGTCTTATCTCATTCCATTACGATCTCTTATCTTCAATTCTGTTAGATGTAATTGATAACTTTATTTTGTACTCATTCCATCGTACAAACATAACAACTGTGCATTTATTTCATTACTCCAGACTATTATTTACTGTAATACAATGGTTTTTTGAGAAAATACGCGAAAGAGTAACATCCTTTCATAACTTTGGTTTCAGCTGTGTTATAAACATTGATTTGCATTTAATCATTGTCTACTAAGCGGAATCAACATTTTAATGAACTGATATCTGTTAATGACCAATAGCGAAATTTTATTTGATAAATCTATTTGTCGTAAAAAAAATAATATTTTTATCTACAAGTCACTGACAGATTCCACATGACAAAAATACTGAAATTTCATCTGATTAAGTTGTTGTGTGTCAGAAAATGAAACTGTTCATAGACATATAAAACAAACATGAATATAAAATGGAAAAAAAAGCAGATCACTATGATGTGATCGATTTCGCGAAAAGACCGCAAGGACAGTGAATTTAGAAAAAAGATAAAGCATCCTGTGTGTTATGAATCGGCAAAAAAATCGTTGATTAATCGCGGTTTTTTTTCAAATAGACACGCAATAGTGTATGTTCATGAAATCTAGTACTACACTTTGTTTTCTTTCTATTCCTTTGTTTTTTTTCATATAAATTTTTTTAAATGACCTAAAAAAGATTTGTCCAGTCTCATCACATACAACTGTGATTGTGAATTAAATTGAGTACATCGACGAGCCATGTAAATATAGTACAAAAAAAAATTTTAATTTTTTTTTATTTTTCTTTCGTTCTTGCATTTTATGCATAATTGTAAAACACAATGGTGCATGAACGATCTTAAAAAGACCGTCGGTTAACTTTATGAACCGCGGGTAATTGCTGGTTTTTATAGAAAATGACGACATGGGATGTGAAAAAGAGGCTAAGATAATATTAAACAAACACAGATGCGTGCAAAGGCTGAGAAAAATGGTAGACTTTTCACTCTACTTTTTTGCTACGGACATACTCATAGCTTGTTTTTGAAATAGAAAAGAAAAAAAACTTCATGTCTAGGTTTATCGTCAATACTCAAAATAGAAGTAAAAACAGACAGAGATTTTGTTTCAACGATGTGTGTAAACAGATGGTTTCTTCGAAAAGTAACTAAGAGAGATCTTTGAAATGAGTATAGTTGAGCAATTGATTGTAACAAAGAAAAAATACAAACAATAAAAAAAAAGAAAAACGTGTTTAACTCCTTCTCTTCTTACCATCTTCTCCTCTTTAATGGAAAATTGAATACTTGTTTTATGATATAGAAAGAAAGGTATATTTAAAAAGTTTAGCTGTACAAAGTAATATTTTTTTTTTTTCACTGTAAATTGAGCTTACAGTAATTGAAAAGAGCACCACCGTATACACGTTTGAAAATAATCAACAGAAAAAAACAAGTCAAATACTGAAACTTTAACAAGAAAATATTTGTTAGAAAAAGATAGTGCACACATATAAAAATAGAAATATACAATGGTATTTTTATGACCGGTTTCTCAATTTGGTCACAAGAAAATATTTTTTAAAAAAGTAAAATGAATACCAATGTATTGTGTGTGAACTCTTTTTAAATTAAAAATTCAAGAAAAATTGCAATGACTAGATTAATATCGAGATTAACTGCATTAGTAAAAGATTAGTAACAAAATAACAAAACATCGTCATGTTTTTGGACCATATAAAATATGTATGATCATTTTTAAATTATTTTTGAAAAGATATTGGAAAAAAATATTTAAGTAAAATTATTTTTGGGAATAAATTCTCTTAAACATAAAGTTTTTATAAGAAATAAAAATGATTATCACATTATATTGGGAAAGCGAAAGACTTGTTCTAACTACACTTTCTCAAAATTTAAAGAATCTATGTTACTGCATTTAGTTTTCAATAAAATTAAAGAAAAATATATTTTTATATATCATACAGTATTTTGTCTTGGACATGTCACTGATATTGTGGGTAATGGTCGTATTAGATTAAGTTGATTTTGTACACGTTGTTCAAGCCTTTCCCATAGACGATTATTTTGTTCTAATACAGCTTGTGCCATATTTTCTGGTAAATTATCTATTTGACACTGAAACAAAAAATAGTCAATATATTAGCAACTGTACACATATTTTTATATATCTATGATTTGAATTGAAGAAATGATTAAGAATATAATAGATACTATTCAAATGATATAATCGAAAAAAGAAATTGTTATCATACTTGTAATGCGATAACTTTATTTTCTAGATCATGAAATTTATTTTCTAGAACTGTTTGATTTGAAAGCATTTGTGAAACAACATCGTACACAGACGATTGTAACTATAAAAAAGAAAAACATATATAAATTAAAATATATTTTTTATTTTATTTTAAACATATTATTCAAATATAGTTTCTATTATGTTTACCTTTGCTATGTCAGACACAGAGTTGACACTATCAGTCAATTTTCGTTGATCTAATTTCACTTTTCTCAAACTAAATTATGACAAAATTGAAAAAATAAATTTAATAAAATTTATATTAAAATCAAACAAAACCTGTGAATGGCTTGCAAAAATTTCCGTTGATGTGTACGAACTAAATTATGAAGAAGAATATTAACATACGATGTATTAATAATATAATTAAAATAGTTAATTCATTTACCACGTGAAGTATTCACATTTTTAACAAGTTTTGTGTATTTGTATATTAACCACGTTTCACGGAGAACATTAGCTGCTGCATTTTTTAACTAAACAAAGAAAAATTGATTTCATTTTTTTTAATTTTAAGAAATACAAATACATACTCTTTTTGTTAATTGTGTATCCATCATAAAATTGTGCACATGTTTTTCGGCTCTGGTTAATTCGAGTTTTCGTGCTAAAACAGCTACCATTGTTGCTGTACAAGATACACCCTGGATAAAAAGAACACAAATTTTTTTTTTTTCTATTGTTATTCAGTTAAAATTTGAATATTTGCTAGATATTTACCATAAGACCGGACACAACACAAATAGCTCTTCCACAATAAGTATTTGGCACAGTATCTCCATAACCAATGGCCAAAAAAGTGACTGCTATTAACCACATAGAATTTAACAAATTTCCATGATGTTTTGGATCATGATTACTAAAAAGAATCATAAAGAAGCAAAATATATCATTTTATAAAATATAAAACAATATAAATTAGTTTTAATAAAAATTTATTCAAATTATTTTTAATATTATCATCTTTAAAATAGAGAATAATTAAAAATTCTTACCTTTCACATGCTCTTACTGTCCAACTTGCAATAATAAATAATGATAAAATAAATACTAATAATACGGTGCCTGGACATATTGTCATCAATGTTTTAAGTACAAAACGTGTATTAAATTTAATTCGATTAAATGCACCAATACTTCTCGATGAAGCATCTGTGAATAGTTTACTATGTAATAACATAACACGACAAATAAGATAGAGACGAAAAAACATTGGTAATGATAATAATATGTCAATATAAACTTCAGCTGTTTTAACATGTAATGGATAATCTGATTTATTTGCCATATGAGTTGTCCAAAAAAATTTAAATGAACCAGGTATTGGATGTATGGCACATATTGATACTTCTACACCAATTTGAAGTACACGCTGCCATGTCATACCAATTCGCCAATCATCTACACAATTGTCAATCATAAATAACTAAACAATAATATTAAAACAAAAAAATATATTATTACAAATTTATATTAGAATTAAATTTTAAAACAAAAACAAAAAAACTTACTTTAACTTCCAGTGCATGATATACAACGATCATACCAATTAAAATTAATGTAGAAATAGTAATGAATGATTTGAGCAAAATTGAACACCAATGAAACTAAATAAACAAATAGTAAATATACTAGTTTTATACATGTAGAAAATAGTTAATTACATGTAGAAAAAAAAAATGTGACTTTTCAATTGAAAATAATTTTGTCAACGACTATTGATGATGTTCACTCTCAATAAACATCGCTACCTTTTTTACAATATGAAATGTCTTATGATATTTGTTAACTAAGAAAGTAATTCATTGAATTTTTGAATGTTTTTGACATGTGATATGTCAAAAATAATATAGAGTCATATCAATTTTTTACTCAATTAAAACACAACTAAAGAGTATGGACATTTTCATCTTTAATCTTGTTGAAAAAATATTTGTTACTGGAAGAAATAAGTTATGGAATGAAACTAATAAGACTCTCATAAATTTTATAAATTTAAGAAAATAGTATGTCTATCTCTAACTATTGAGAATTATTGAAATTTTTTGTACTTTGTATTATTGCAAATATATCTGTCATTTAATTAGAAGGTTAGTTATTAACTAAAGATGAAATTAACAGTTGCATGTTTAGCTACGCATTAGATGTTCAATTTATATGTATAAATAAAATTAATAAATATCCGCATTTTTTGAACGTCATACATTGCCAGTATATATTTCCCTAAAGTATTTTTTTTTTCTTTTTTTTTCTTATAATTTCGATAAAATTCATGAGTTTCACACGTTAATATCGAGAGGCTTTACGCTGTGTCATTTCGTGATAAAAAACAGAGAAGTATAATCTAATTGTGAATGTTACATGAAACAAACTAAATAAAAATATTCTCAAAGACTTTTATTAACTTATTTTTGAAAAAAAAAATAATTCGTGTATAAACATGACAGAATGTTATTTTTACTTTCATGAACAAAGAAAAAAAGGTTATTTTATATTATCTTATATTTTATTCGGAGCTCTTTTGTAAAAATCAATGATATTTTTATACTCTTAATTTTTGTTTTCATATAATTAATCTTCAGAATTATTTAGCATCATTTCCGTTTTCATGCTTATAATTTCATGGTTCTAATTTTTTTTGTCTTATTAAATATATACTTTTTTTTTCAAATTATATTTCATGTTCATATTTGGCAATACGTGCGTGATAACAGCTGATTTTACTGGTCATCATAAATCGTTACGTACATCGTGGATGTTGTAATCAAGTTTTAGCACTGTCAATTTATATACCAATTTTATTATATTTCGTATGTTTATAGATATTACTCGACTATATTGAGTAGTACCTTCTGCTTTGTGATATTTACAACATAGTTCGTCTGAATTTCTCGAACATGTTTAATAAGTATGTAGAGAGAGCGAGAGAAAGCTATTGGGTAAAACAAATCAGCGTTAGACTAGTCTTATGGATAGAGCTGAAGTTTAATGACTAGTAAATGGATGAGTAATCCAACTGATCTTCAAAGATTATCAACGGCAAGGAAGATATTAGACCACTTAAAAGTAAAAAATTTAACTTTTCAGCATTCTTTTCCATTTTACTTTTCGTAACATGAAGTGAACACGTACGTTACTTCTTTTAAACAAATTTGGCAGTCAAAAAAACCGTTAAGGAAGTGATATTTCGTCGAAAATTTATCATCATTATATTTTATTTAGATAAAAATTTCACACTGAAAACTTGGTATTTTATATTAGCACATTTCAAATTATACGATTTTATGTCAGACTCAATAGACTTTAAATCTTCTCAAAACATGCACTTTCTATGATTAGACACATCATTGAACAAATTTAGTCAATGGGGATACTGATAATTTCTTTATAACCTCTAAGCTTGAACATTTATAATTTTCTTGAAACTATAATTTGTGTTTTAAAGAAATAAAAACAACAACATCATCATATTTTACGCTTTTATTTCCGGATGCAACTAGTATAGTACAAGAAGAAAAAATCTTCGAATTGTTCGCACACATACAAATGAAACCTTTTATTTTAATCAATGTCGACAGTTATTTTTCTTCTTCTTCTTTTCTATCTATAAATGCATTAGAAAGAGGAAATAGAAAAAAAATTGAACAAAAAAACAAAGAAAGAACGATAGTCTAGTAGTTTATCAAAATTTTTATAAAATATGACATTTCTTTTCTCTTGTCTTTTAGCGCAGCTTTTACTCATATTAATGCAAATTAATTTACTACTATATAATTCTTGATGATGTTCATTTTCACTAATCAGTATCAAATTAAAAGAATTAAAAGAGAAAAAAACAAATTAGTTTAATAATAAGTATACGGTCATTTTATTTATACTTTTTAAACATTTTTTTTCTTCTTCTATTTTCTTCTAACAACACGACTAAATGACTTCAGAGTAAAAAATTTCTCTTCATATGCCATAATTAGTGTAGACGTGATAAATGGTGTAATGCTGATGTTCTAACAGTTGAACTGAGAAGAAAAGGAACCTATTTATATTATATATATATATATATATATAGACAGAGACAAAGAATTGTATGAAACAACAAAGAGCAAAGGATATGTGAATAGAATTAATAAGATCAAAGTATTATTTTTTCTATACTAATACATTTACCATTGATTGATTACATCAAGAGAAAGAAAAAAAAAAGCACCTAATTATTGGACCAGAAAATAGAAACAATTGAGTTTACTTTTTTTTATGAATATAGACGACATTTTAGGAGAAAAACAAAGGCGTTCATAACGATCAATTGAGAAGTGGAAAATCTCAATGGTTTTCGTACTATCATGAATAGGGTATCTCTGCTCTCGTATTCATTCTCTTTGTTTAATGAAAATTTTCATCTTATAATAGAGAATTTTTCTGGACAATTTTTTGAAAATTATGCACTCTACTATTTATTTATCATTTTTTAATACCAATTTCTCTCTTTCAACGAAAAAAAAATCCCCTATGTTTAACGTCGTTTAAGTACAAGTTGTTTATCTATGTACATAACAGCGAAATAAAATACACTAGATTACAACTCAAATTTCTAATGATGGCGATGGTACTGACAAATGGAAGGCCATTTTCTAAATATGAACACATTCATTAACATATCAATAAAAAGAAAGAACTATATTTAGGTATAAATCGTTTTGATACCACTGTCAATTGTTTCTGTAAGAAGTGATTATCCATAAATAATCAAATAGTTAGTGACTGAAATGTTTGAAATCCCACATAGATTTAAGTTGGTGTCAAAATTTAAACTTTTCTATTACTTTCTTCTAAGAGAACAACAAAGAAGTGTGAAATTATAAAGACAATATAGAGGCACAAATGACAAAATTTCCTGTTCTGGAACTAGTTTTTTTAACATAAATGACCTATGGAATTACACATGAGAAGTTCTCAATTAAAACTCATTACACAATTGTGCAATGGATAATTTCATTGCTTCATAGTGAAAGTATTGGTATGAAAAAAAAGTACCATCTGGCAATCATCAAAACATTTAATCTAATTGATTAGCATATTTGACTAATGTCTACTTTTGAACTTTACCTTATTATATATTCTTGCCATGCTGAGTTCTTGTTCTAGTACCATAAATAATAGTCCAACCATAGCGAAAAATAGAGCATAATCAGATGCTTTTCGTCTTTTTTCAAATAAAAGTTTTCGTCTTCCTAATCGATAACATTCTTTGCGAGATGTACGTTCAGCTCGTTTAGGTTGCATGGTATTTACAAGTGGTCTTGAATCATCTGTAATAAAAAGTGCTGATGCTCCACCGCTACGTGGTGGTCCACCACCACCACCGCCACCACCACCACCCATATCATGTCCGTTATTCGAATTATTATTTCCGTTTGGTGGAGATAAAGTGGATGCTGTTACATTCATAGTCTGTTGTTCATTAGATTTTCCACTCCCATGTACAATGTTTGTCGTTGTATTTTGATTATTCGACATTAGATCGCTGACACCTAATACTGATCCATCACATTCACTTTGTCTCGAATTTTGTCGATTTAAACGATCTGGACGTTGTAATTGTCTGAATGGTATTGCTAAAAAAAGAAGAACATTATCCGTTTGAGACTAACAGTTAAAGATACTTACAGATTATTGTGTGAAAAATGTTTAGTTTTAAAATCAGTCTTCGCCTTTTCTCTCTTTTCTCTGAGCATATATATCCTTTTTTTTTTTTTGTTCTTTTGTATTTACAATTATATCATAAAAATCTCAATGTATTAATCGTTCCCTCTTCTTTTCGGTTAAGTTTTTTTATTATATTATATTCATTCATCGGCCAATCAATTATCAGCAGCAAAAAAAATATATATTTAAAAGTACTTATTTCCTCGTAGAATAATAACTGTCACAAATTAGTGTCTCTGTTCATTTCAATCATTTGAGTTTCTTAAATAGACAATAATCACTTAGAAAATACGCATAAAAAAAACATATAACTTACCGCCATTATATTTCATTGATTCAAGACTAATATCGACAATTGTCTCTTCTCGTCTACGACGTAATTCATTTACAGTTTTTATTTCTGTTTGTGTTCCAATATCTTCATTTGTTGAACTTGGACCATAAGGCGCATTATACGTTGTATCACTATGTGTTGAATGTGCACTACCATGAGATTCAATTGAACGATTAAAACTTGGATGACCAATGAATACTTTAGATGTTGCCATACTATAATTTATTAGTGGCAATTAAAAAGACTATGTGCCATGAATATTAACGTCCATAAATAAAAAAGTAGATGACAAAAAAAAACACAAAATTAATACAACGGTACAAATGTCATAAAATTATACATCTAATAAATATATATTTTTAAACAGGTGTTGAAGTTTATTAATCGTTGTTTTATTAAGCGATAGTAAAGACAAGGAGAAAACAAATAATGGTGGATGGAATATCTAAAACAAAAAAAAAAATAAAAAAATAAAAGGTAAAACTACACTATATCATCTTTTATATATCGTTGTACATTGGTAAATAGATTAATTATTTTCTTCTATTTCATTACTTACCTTTATAATAACTGTTTATTTTATTTTTCAAGAGAAAACTAGATCATAATAAGGGTGTTGTCCTATGTTTTGCGTATTCGAAAGTTTTATTTTTTTTATTATCAATACAAATACTGCAAATAGAGAGAGGAAATTCCTGAAATTTTATCACAATTATATATTTATCTTATCAAAAACTACAAAGACTGACGATCGGTTATTCATACAAAACAAAAAAAATAAAATAAAAAGAAGAATAAGAACTAACAGTTTCTTTGGTTGAATGAAAAAGTCATAGAATCTTATATCTACATTAAAAATGTTTTTTTTTTTTCTTTTGTCATCTGAATAAACTGCATAATATTCGATCGAAAATATATTGAGATAATATATTATGAATATTTGTTTGTTATAATGATATTTTTGATGGATGATTTTCGTCTATAATACTAAATTGATTTTTTATTTAACTGTTGGTTGTTTTACGTCTACTTAATAAACTCAAGTTTTTTACTCTATTTAGAAGAAAAAGATCACACATGAAAGAGTATAGAAAATATTTTCTTTTTTCTTAAATAAAATTAACTTGTTCATTTTTTTTTTTATGTAACTAAAAAACAAAAAAAGAAGAACGTGGATTTATGAACCGTAGTATACTCAATATAATTATTTTAACATTGTTCCATATGACTGTTTCTCTTTCTGATGATTAGTTAGAATAAAGGAGAAAGACAGAGAGACAATCAAATTATTTACTCTACATTAATTAACTGTCTATTATTTACTACCTATCATTATATTTGATAGTTATCATCTTTTCAGAAAACTAACACAATTAAAATAACAGATATTTTTATATATGTTTTTTTTACTTGAATTTAATTGACCATAGAATTATTGACATTCAATGTACTATTGCCAGTTTACGAGAAAAGTCTATTATCACATCCTTCTTTCTATCTTGTCTTCAAATAAGCACTAGATTTAGAAGTAGTAGGAGAAGAAGAAGAAGAAAATAAATTCTTGTTTGTTTCTTTTCTTTTTTCTTTTTTTTTATTTGTCTCGGCTAAACGATTCTCATTATTATTTCTTATCCATATCATTTTCAATAGTATCGAATAAATAATTATATAACTCTTACTGTTCTTCTGCTAGTGGTAATAATGACGATGATAACAATTAAGAAGGACCAACACAACAAAAAGAGAAAATAAAAAAGAAGCGAAGAAGATTATTCGATCAAACAGACACATAAACAACAAATAATGGCAATAAACGTGTCCTATTATCTCTTGCTAATAGAACATTATAAATAGTGTGTTTTAGCAGAAGATCTATTTTTTTTTTTTTTTTTTTTTTTTTTTTTTTGGCGCAATAAATAAAAAACAAAAAAGCAAAAATATTTACTTAAAAAATTGAAAGGAAAAAAAAACCGGGAATTGTTAGAATTTGATNAAATATGTCGGATTTCTTCTTGTTTTTCTCCTATTAACTTCTTTTCATAATATCTCTATAGCTACTATTGTGTAGCCATTTTATTTTTATTTTTTTTTGTTTTGGAGACAATACATAATACAGAAAAATGCACAATAATTCGATTAAAAATTGTCACGCATAAAATAACCGGAAGATGTTAGAATTTCTTAGATTTATTTATCTGTCGATGTATTATCCATCTGTAATTTTTGAAGTGTCACCGATATCCATACAGTTTAGAGTTATTAGTCTTGATAGATTATCTTTTTTAAAAAAAAAAATAAATAAATAAATAATGTATTTTGTTTTTTCCTTTTACTGATTATCTCCTCTTTCATATACAAAAAGTAGTAACGTCAACAGTAAAAAAAATGATAACAATAACATATGGGAAATATGATGAGCATTAAAATAGAGAAAGGAAGTCACATCGCTTCAAAATACACGCCAAGAAAAAAATAAAATAAAAATAAAATGGCTACACAATAGTAGCTATAGAGATATTATGAAAAGAAGTTAATAGGAGAAAAACAAGAAGAAATCCGACATATTTACTTCCAGTTTCATATAATTAACTTATGTCTCATTTTCTACCTTCCCGGAGGTGAAAAGGAAGTAGGAAAAAGATTGTATCTCATTGATAGTTATTCATTCTTAAAAATAATAGTGTTAAACAATGATTATTTTTTATTCAGTAAAAATATCTTCTAATTTGTATTTGAGACTATTTTGAAGAGTAAATAAATATATCCAAAAGAAAAGATAAATTTTAATTTAATGATAGATAACTAATGTAATATTCTCGAATATTAATCACTGTAGAAACGTATCATAGCATTTTGACGCGCTTGAACTTCAAAATTTGAAAGAATAAAATATTCACATATTTTCTTACGAGATGAGAGAAAATCATTCAATGACAGTTAAAAATTGGTTGCTCAAGAAGATTTCTAATAAATTTTTCATTATCAATATTTCTCCAAAATGATATTGTTTCTTTTATGATCAAGAGAAGTGTAAAATCTACCTATAATTCACTTGTTTACAATGAAAAATGGTTGAATAATCAAATTTATCTCTCAAATAACACTTTTTTTTCGTTACTGGAATTATTCCATATTATAATTATTTTATAAAACTCATCTTCTATCTGTTTTTTTTAATAAATGATAAACACAAAATTTTTTCTATGTTTAATTTTAAGTATTTTTTAAACATTTAATTCTTCAATGTAATATTGAGAGAAAAAAATTAATGATAATTAGGGTTATTTTCAGAATACTAGAAAATATTCAACGACAGATTAAATAAGCGGAAACTGTAAAGCTTTATATTTCAAAATGTTTTTTACATCATAATTATCAAATAAATTAAACGCAAAACAAAACAGAAATGGTAATGTAGTTTCTTTTTCTTTTTTTAATCTTATTCGTATGCTCCTTTTTTTTGTTGGATTTGGATCAAGTACATGAGATTTCTTTCTGGATTTCTTTTTTTATTTCTCTTTTTATTTATTGATTAAGCACTTTTTTTATGTTATAGTAGAATTTCTTTAGAAAAAAAGTTGTGGTATAATACTTCAAACAATCTTAACACCCCTACTAAATTAGAATGAAGAAACCGGGATTATATCATCATCATCATCACTCTCTACTCATCAAGAGAGGTTTGAAAATAAATTCGAAGAAGACTGGTGATCTACTTACCCTGAAGCAAGAAAGAAAATAGAACACTTTGTATTGTAACATTAACATGCATACCAGATCATATTAAACAACAACAACAAAAAAAAAAAACGTTTTTTAAAAACTTTCTAGTGTATTCCGTTACTTCTCAAATACGAAAAGAAGATAAAATAAGAAAAAAAGTTCATGTCATCAACCCAATGCAACTCTCTTGCTATATATCCAGTTCTTTTGTATGTGCTCGATTTGTTAGTTGCTCAATCTCGATAAGAAGAAAAGAAGAAAAAAAAGTGTTATTTGAGAGATAAATTTGATTATTCAACCATTTTTCATTGTAAACAAGTGAATT